TGGGTCACGTCTTGATCAATGTCACCATTTTTCTGGATGATCGATCCAAGAAACTTACAAAATTCACTCATGGTCAATTCCTTTCCATCCAAACTCACCACTTCATCGCTTGTCCCCCTCTGAGTACCAAAGTGACATACCAAATATTGAGTTTTACTCCGACTTAGCTTAAACCCTCTAGATTCCAACCTTTGCCTCCATTGCTCCAACTTGATATTAATTAACCCCATCTACAGTTTTATCCACCAAAAATCATCCGCAAACAATATACACCATGAAATCTCATCTTGAATTGGTCTAATTACTTCATCTAGAATTATTGCTAATAATATTATGCACTAAAAAAAGTACTCATATACAAGTATAAGAAATTGCAACATTATTACTTTGCTATAAACAATACTTTAGTATAAGAAATTGCAACATTATTACTTGCTATAAACAATACTTTATAAAAATTTAATATGCATTGTTTATCTTAATTACTTTTTTTCTTAAAAAGATAAAAAAAAAAAAGAAAAAAAAAAGAGGGGTGACAATGCTGATGGATGGTGGAAGTAATGAGAAGGGTATATGTGTATGTTTTTAGTGATTGGAGTGCAAAACTTATTGTCTAAGTTAGTTGACACTAATTTATGATTTAAAGTGTTGATTAAAAAATTAATACAAGAAATAATATATAGTAAGTACGTAGTAGGAAGCTTAATTACCAAACTTTCCTCAGCTTTTGATGCAGTGGGTGCTTCATTGCTTTGTCTTTTATACACTCTTTGTTGTCGATAATTAAACTATATATATACTTCTATTTTATATAGGAGGTCCAATTAATTAAATATCCTCCACTTAATTAATTATTAAACTTTTCCCCACAATTTTCCCCCTTTCCTTAGGTCATGTGTCAGCTGCTAAGATTCCTGCTCTTAATTATTATTATTAATAATTTGTTTAAGAAAAATGCTAATCTAAGTTTGGAATATCTTTTATGTGAGCTCTTACTCCATTTCTTAATTTTATTCACTCCCTTGTTGAATTGGTATATATACGAATGGAGTGAAATTTCAAAGTTATTTTTACGTCAAGCACTAGTTTACACTGATCACTCAATATATTGTTAGCGTATTTGTTATTTAATGATTTCTTCAACTATTACTATAATTTTTTTAATATATATATATATACACATTTTATTATATTATGCTCCATAATCCGCATATATAATAGATCATTCAATATATCGACTTCCCTCAAAATATGTATGTCGTTTCATTTTATTCCTCCTATCTAAGAAAATCCACTGTGGAATATAATACTACTCAATCGATTTTATGAATTTGCTATCTATGTAAATCTATAAGTTTCTACGTAGTCGTTGATATATTAAAGATTATAACCGCGTGCACTTTATTAAATATAAATTAAATTATGGCTATATAAGGAAATATTAAGCCCTTTATTCTTGTGTTAAGGCAGTTAGACATGCATGCACAATTGCATATAACATTATTGTAGATAAATTAGTTCAAAGGGCCAATGATAGAGAGGTTGAATTGAAGTGTACACACCTGCTAATTAAGCATATATACATCAATAAATAGTAAACCAAATTGGAATTTATAGAAAGGCCAAAACATATGATAAATACATTAATACGTGACCACTTTGATAGTTACGTACACAGCTTAGCTCCCATTTGCTGCAGTTTACTCAACTTCACATGGACTGGATTTTTAAGTATAACGATACAAATCTATTTTAACTCTACTTTTAATTTGTTGCATTGCCGTGATCTTCCAATTTTCGTACTAGTAGATCTTATTATTTTGTTTATACTTGTATATTTTATGTGTATTAGTCGTAGTTATCAGTTATCTATGTTTTACTTATATACAAAGTATGTAACAAGCAACTCGCCTTTCGTGTGATGTTATATGAATAATTGGTGGACAAGGTGGTGCAAAAAGCGTGCCTCATATGAGAATTTGTGGCTTTTTTTTAATTTTTATTTTATATTTTTTTTGAGCTTTATTAAATCTTTAGGAGATAAAAAAAAAAAAAAAAAAAAAACTCAAAAATCAATTATTATTATCACGTGAGAGCGAGTAAGAGGCCAATTCGAATGGTCAATCTAATCTATTAACTATTCTAAAACAAAACATTGCTAACATCATCAATCTTGAAACTATCTTACATGTCATTTTCTCATTAAAATTTTACCCTCCAATTTTATGTGTGATGTCATCAATTATTAGCAATTTTTTATTTTTTATTTTTAATCTACACTTATGACATCAATGCATAAGTATCTATATAAAATTCAATTAATCAAGTTTCTCTCCTAAATTATAGTTTCACATACCTAATTTAGTTTGAATTGATGTTTCATTGTAGTTTCAATTTTTTTTTTTTACTTTCCTTAAATGTAAATTAATTTTATATTTAATTCTAATCTTCATATACAATGTAATGCAAGTGAATAGTAATTATTATAAGAAATAGTAATTCTAACCTAGTGTATATATATATATATATATATATATATATATATATATATATATATATATATATATATATATATATATATATATATATATATATATATATATATATATAAGGGGAGTTTTTTCCCGAGTTTTTAGAGCGCCACATAGGATTTAAATTTTTAAAAAATTATTAGAGCGCCACTTAGGATTATTATATTTAAAACGCTACAATAGAATTTTTCCACGTAAGATTAGTTTTTTGTAAAGCGCTACGTAGGTTTTTAATAAAAAAAATTGCCACGTAGGACTAACAATTTTAAAACACTACAGTAGGATTATGCCACGTAAGATTAATTGTATAGCGTCACATAGGAAAATGTTATATTTTAGCCAACAATAAAAAAATAATTGCAATTTATTTTAGATAAATTTTTTTTATATTAATTATAAAAATAAAATCAGCGAGTTTTTTGTGTGGCTGGCCATATCGTGTGGCCGACTGAGACACACCCAAACATTGACCGAGTAATCCTGACCGTCCAAGTAACCCTGATTGATTGAGTAACCTTTGACCAACCAAGTAACTCTTGACCAAGTAATCCGACCACACGGTATGACCAGCCACATATGAAACATTGTGAAATAAAATATTATCTTTTTATATTACGAATTTTATCTAAATATGTGAAACAAAGTTAATAATTCATTTTATAATAAAAAAAAATTCAAGCAGTAAGCAAGCGAATATCACAAAATTTATTAGATAAATATATATTAGTAAAATATTTTATTTGAAAAAATACAAACAAACCGTGCATCGCACGGAATTCATCCGGTTTATATTATATTTCATTATTGAAATAATTATATTCACCTAAGCTAATAAATAGATATATAATTCATATACATAAGTCGGATTTTGGCTCAGTTATGAAGCCTGAATTTTTTGTCTCGCACGCAAATCATCAGATCCATCTGAGTGCATGAATGTATAGATTATCAGTGTTTATATACGAAGTATATACCAATAACATTATAATAATCTTTCAATATACATGGTACGGAGTACTTCAATTCGTATGAAACTAACATAAAAAATACATTAAACAATCTTATACGACACCATACAAATACCAGTTTATTTAATTATCTTATCATGCTCTTTCATGTAATTATTGATCAGAAAGGACTCAAAAAACTAATATTAGTACTAACAAGGTCTACATGATAGACTGATCGTGATATAATGTCTACATGATAGACTGTTAGTCAAAGTGGAATACATGAATAGTGTAAAAGTCAAACTGTTGCAACTATTAAAAAAACGGAGGAAATATAAAACAAAAAGTTCAATTAGTCATAAATCTCATAATACTTGGATTCCATGATGACACGAATCAGGGGAACCAAATAAAGACCAAATAAAAATTTGAATAACAAATCCATAAATTTCAATCAAACTATTTATAATTTTTGTCATTAATAGGATATATTCATATATATTCACATTTTATTGAACATTAATAATTCACACTAGCTCTTTTATTCTCTACAGTATGATCAGATCTTAGATTGACTATCATCTTGAATTTTTCACTTACATATTCTTAATTAATGTTCAAGATCTGTTACACTCTTTTCTAATTGTGATTTGGTAGTACAATCTACTGCATAATTACAAAAATCCTATGGTATTATTATAATAATAAACTGTTTTAGGGAAAATAAATTCAGGGACATTTAGATGTTGTGATTAGATTAAAGTATTTATATAAATGAAATATGGATCTGATACTGTATGTAGCAGCTGCTAGTCTGCTGACCAACCTTTTAGTGGTAACTTAGTGCTTGCTAATATTAAACTCTGCATTTTCTACCAGACTACCGACTACCACTATTGCTATATCAGAGATTTTTTTTAAGAATTAGTCACTTTAGACTGTCTCATTAAATTGTTGAAGCTTTTCTTCAACTTCAGATCTTGATTTCTGATGTATACTAATGCTATGTACTGTATGGAGGGCTGTCAAGCCAAAGACAATTAACAAAAAATTGTCTCACACAAATTTATTATATAGTATTTCTCAATTTGAAAATGTATAATCAAGTACGGAGTATACTGTTGTGAAATTTTCGGAAAAAAAAAAAAAGAAAACCTTCTGAATTATAGCAATCAATAATGTTTTACTTATGATATCCAAAAGCAGCAAATTTAATAGTAGGCCCCAAAATATAATTTGATCCATATGATATGATTTGTTGAAAAAGCTTATATTTTTAGCAGGATCCTTGAGAATAAAATCATACCAAAAAGCTTAATCAAGTAGATAAATTGTACTTAGTTGCCATATTACAATCAAATAAGACAATCAAACAAGGGAAATGGGTGTCCCATCACATAGTGATTAACCTATTTACAACCAAAACTGTGTAACTTTTTTATTTCTTTTTGGGAAGATAAGAAATCATTTTCTTTCAATTGAATACACAAAAATAACCAAGTATGAGAAATAAATAAGAGCCTAAATTGTAAATATAAGTAGTACAAAAAAAAAATAGGATGACTCAGATCCCTCTTTGCTAAAACAGAGCATATGCCATGCAACTGACAAAACTCCATCACTCTATCTATTCATATGAAATCATCATATTGCTGTACATTAATTTAAATAAAATGTAGAATAATAAAAAGAAGTACAAAGTAGTAGCAGAAAGCATCAATTATCAAGGCTGAATGAAAAAGGTGTTTGTACAATATTAATATCCACAAATCATTCACAAAAGTTTTGTTTTTATCTGTTGTCAAAGTGAATTCATCATTCATTTGTGTCAATCGTTTGGTGGAACTTAAAAAGTAACATTAAACAACAATGTCTAGTTTAATTTTTATTACAGCAAAACAAGATTAGGATCAGATATACACAATTTTATTTCTATCAGCAAATTCAAACACAAAAAAAATCGGAAAAGGATTTATAATCTTACAACTTATACTGAGAAATAAAACATAAAACTAAGTGAACAAAAAAATAATACAAGACAGCTCACCCTGCTCTCACTTTCAACATATATTTTTTTTTAGAAAAAACACTGCAATCTCCTCCCTTTTCCACCCCACAAATCAGACATAAACAAATAAAAATTCCAATTATCTTTGCCTAAACTTAAACCAAATATAATGGAGTTAGCTGTTGTTCTTGGATCCGGAGATTCTGGGTCTAATTCCATTTTATTAATCCTTTTGTACTTCGTATTCAACTATTTATATAGTATAGTTTAATATTCACACTCACATATAACTAGTTAGCATTATTATTATTATCATGGGATTTTCCAAACTCAACTTTCTCTCTCCTTCCTAAACTCATACACCTGCAAAAAAAACACAAACAACAACATTAACAACTACACTTACTTACCTTAGTTACCTCGATCTCTCTTCCTTTTTTGGTGTGTGTTGTTCTTTTTCATTGGACTTTGTAGCTTCTTCTAGGGAGGAGTACAAGCTATATTCTTTTTACTTAGCTTGTTAATTCATTTTTCTTCTTCTTGTTTCCTTGGTTGAATTGTAATGCCTGTTAAACATCACCCATGGCATCACCACCACCACCATCACCACCACATCCTCCTCGATCTACTAAGCGTTGTTCTTGTCATTTCGATGTGTTTTGGAGCAGCCCTCGCCGTGAATCCACAAGGCGAGGCGCTCCTTTGGTGGAAAGGAAGCTTAAATGGATCGGTTGAGGTGTTGAAGGATTGGAATCCAAGTGATCAAACACCATGTAAATGGTATGGGATTACTTGTAACATGAAGAATGAAGTGAGTGAGTTGAACTTGAGGTATGTTGATTTATATGGCAATGTCCCTTCAAATTTCACCTCTTTATTGACCTTAACAAAACTTTCCCTAGTAGGAACAAATCTTGCGGGTACTATCCCAAAAGAGTTAGGGTCACTCCAAGAGCTTAAGTCCTTAGACTTAAGTGATAATGCCTTAAATGGTGAAATCCCAAGTGAAATATGCCACTTACCCAAGCTAGAACAACTCATACTAAACACAAATCACCTTGAAGGTTCTATACCAATCGATCTCGGAAACTTGACAAGCCTATCTTGGTTGATCATCTATGATAATCAACTAAGTGGTACAATCCCAAGTACAATAGGTAACCTAAAGAATCTAGCAGTAATAAGAGCAGGTGGAAACAAGAACCTTGAAGGTTCATTACCCTTGGAGATAGGCAATTGTACTAATTTAGTAATGCTTGGGTTAGCTGAAACAAGCCTCTCAGGCTCCCTTCCTTCAACCATAGGCAACCTCAAGAAACTCGAAACCCTCGCCGTATACACTGCCCTTCTCTCAGGCAATATCCCACCTGAGATTGGTGATTGTACTAATCTCGAAAGCATTTACCTTTACGAAAACTCGCTCTCAGGCTCGATCCCACCCCATTTAGGGAACCTTAAGAACCTTCAGAACTTGCTACTCTGGCAGAACTCTTTGGTGGGCACAATCCCTCCTGAGTTAGGAAGATGCAGCAATCTTGTTATTGTTGATATGTCATTAAACTCATTAACAGGCAGCATTCCTGCATCATTTGGAAACCTGACAAATTTACAAGAACTTCAGCTGAGTGTGAACCAGATTTCAGGGCCTATCCCATCTAATTTGGGATCATGTACAAGCCTCACTCACATCGAGATTGACAACAATCAAATAACTGGTGTAATCCCAACTGAGTTGGGACAGTTAACCAATCTTTCTCTCCTCTTTTTGTGGCAGAACAAATTAGAAGGCAACATCCCAACAAGTTTGGGTAACTGCAAGAACTTGGAAGCCATTGATTTTTCATCAAACAGCTTAACTGGGATCATACCAAAAGGGATTTTCCAGCTTCAAAAACTCAACAAATTACTGCTACTATCCAATAATTTGTCGGGTCCTATCCCAAATGAGTTGGGACAATGTTCTACATTGATAAGATTCAGGGCAAATAACAACAAACTCACTGGGGCAATTCCTCGAACAGTTGGTGGGCTACTAAACTTAAACTTTTTCGATCTTGGAGATAACCGGATTACCGGAGAAATACCGGAAGAAATCGCCAGTTGCCGGAATCTCACCTTCCTTGACCTGCATTCCAACTCCATTTCTGGGTCTTTGCCGGTAAATTTCAGCACCCTTTCTTCTCTTCAATTTGTTGATTTTTCTGATAATAAAATAGAAGGGGAGTTACCCAAGAAAATTGGGTCACTGAGTTCACTCACGAAACTCGATCTGAGTAGAAATAGACTCAATGGGTCGATTCCGAGTGAGATTGGGTCTTGTTCGAAGCTTCAAATGATCGATCTTAGCAATAATCAATTTTCCGGCGAGATTCCGGCGACCGTTGGGAATATTCCGGGGCTTGAGATTGCGGTTAATCTGAGCTGGAATCAACTTTCCGGTGAAATTCCGTCGGAGTTCTCGGCTCTCACTAAGCTTGGTGTGTTGGACCTTTCTCACAATAAGTTGTCAGGGGACTTGTATTCTCTTGGAGCCCTTCAAAATCTTGTGGTGTTGAATGTCTCCAATAATAAGTTTTCGGGGAATGTGCCCGATACGCCGCTTTTTACGAAGCTCCCGCCCGCAATGATTGTGGGAAATTCCGGTCTTTGCGCTGCTGGTGACTCGCGGTGCATCGCCACCGGGAGGGGTGGTGTCAGCAGGAGGGCGAGGGTGGTGATGGCGGTGCTTCTTTCCGTGGGAGGTGTCCTCCTATTGGTTGCCCTCTATGTTATATTCGGTGGGGCCCGGTACTTACGTAGGGCCCACACTGATGACATGGAGTGCGCCAATGAGGACGTGGAGATGTTTCCCCCTTGGGAGGTCACATTGTATCAGAAGCTTGATCTCTCGATAGCTGATGTGGCAAGGTGCATGACAGCTGGCAATATCGTTGGCCGGGGGCGGTCCGGTGTTGTCTACCGAGTAACCCTACCGTCGAACTTAAATGTCGCTATAAAGAAGTTTCGGTCATCAGATAAGACCTCAACGGAGTTTTTCTCGTCGGAGATAGCCACGCTAGCTAGGATAAGACATCGGAACATTGTTAGGCTATTGGGATGGGCAGCTAATAGGAAGACTAAGCTTTTGTTTTATGATTACATGATCAATGGTACCCTTGGTGCATTGTTACACGAGAGTGGAAATGGTACTGGCGCCGTGGTGGAGTGGGAGACACGATTCAAGATAGCATTGGGTGTGGCAGAAGGACTTGCCTATTTGCATCATGATTGTGTGCCAGCAATTGTTCATCGAGATGTCAAGGCACACAACATATTGTTAGGTGATCGATATGAGGCTTGCTTAGCTGATTTTGGCCTTGCTAGGCTTGTGGAAGATCAAAGCGGGTCATTGTCCGAAACTCCCCAATTTGCCGGATCATATGGGTACTTTGCTCCTGGTATGTTTCAAAAATTCTACTCGTATCTAATTCGTTCTTCTAATATTGTACTTCATTTTTGTTTAATTCTTGTATTAGTTACAATGTCTTAGTATTTCCTTGAGTCGCTATGATTGAAATTGTTATTTGTGTATTCTTTGTGGTTTGTAGAGTATGCATGCCCTGTGAAGATCACGGAGAAGAGCGATGTATTTAGTTATGGTGTAGTTTTGCTAGAGATTATCACCGGGAAGAAGCCCGTTGATCCATCCTTTCCGGAAGAGCAACATGTTATTCAATGGGTTCGAGACCACTTGAAGAGTAAACAAGACCCTGTTGATATTATTGACTCAAAGCTCCAAGGCCATCATGATACACAAATTCAAGAGATGCTCCAAGCATTAGGAATTGCATTACTATGCACGAGTAATCGAGCAGAGGATCGACCTACAATGAAAGATGTAGCTGTGTTACTGAAGGAGATCAAACATGAACCTACAACAAGCAATGATATCCACAAGCCAACTAGCAACACCTCAAAAAAGCAAGAAAATTCTTCGAATTCCTCGTCGAAATCAGTAACCCCATCCCAATTGTTGCTTCGGCAAGGATCGTCTCATAGTTCATCACTTGCTTACTCATCTTCCTCCCCAACTTATTCCTCACATAATCAATCAACAATGTCGTGATTATTATGTGGTAAATTTGGTTTTGATAAAAAATTTCTACTAGTAGATAGATAGGATTATAGGGTGCGGTGCTTGATAAGAAAGTGTAAAGTGTTAGCTAGTGACATTTATCCAATGTAAGATAAACATGGATATGAGCAATACGAGTGTACAAAGAATTCATATGATTAGATTTTAATGTCAAGGTCTTTTATCAATTAACTTTGTGATAATATAAGATTATCAATACAACTCACATTTTTTCGAGTTAGTTCAGCTTAATATAAGCTTGTAATGTTTTGATTGAACGGTATATTATTATTTTAACTTTATTAGTTCTAATTTAAATTATGTAACACTGTTTTTTCATGGCATTCCATATCAATAAGAGACCAAAAGGATGACTATTAATAATTTAGGGGCTTAAGCATTTGGTTGAGAATATGCACGTAGATATTTTACGAAGCATATGGTAATGACACCGTGTTTTCGGCCATGTTCTTTAAAGTTGAACTGAACTAAAGTGGAATAATGAATTGTGTTAAGTTTACAATAAATTAAACGGAAAAATAAGTCTAAAAGAACATGCCTAATTATGTAAAAATAAATATCCTCATATTGTTGTAATACAAGACTTAGGATTGTAGACCTATATACATCGATCAACGAAAATATTCTAAATTAAGGAGAACTCTGCCCTTCTACGATATCCATATAAACAAAACAAACCCCCTTCCAAATCACAATATTTTATATCTTTACATAAATTTAAAGGTGTGTCTATACCTTATAAATAATAGAGAGACGAGCAACATTTCGTTGTTAAATTGTCAAGTCATGATATTTCTTATCTTCAAAAATCAAAAGAGGGGTTGTTTAGGGGGCCGGGGGATGTGTCGGATGTGTGTGTTTTGTGCGTGTAATGTTTGGCCTTTAGGCCATGTTAATGTTGTCTCCCTACTCCTAGAGGATCTTACAAAAAGAAGTGGATATATTTGTGTGGTTTTTAGAGTTTTCATTAATATAAAAAGTGTGACCACTTACTCTTATTTTTTCAAAATCATAATTTGTTACTTAAGATAAGAATCCCATTAGATAGGAATTTTTTTTATTATAAAGTTTAATGATTTCATTTTTTTGTGTGATTAATACGTTATATTCTTTCTTTTATGTTGTCTTGTCCATAATTTTAAGCTATATTTATAAAAAGCTCCGTATAAAACTTAAATTTAAACTTTTTTGTATCTCTACAGGTACAATCTTGTATGAGACATTCTCCCAATACCATTTTTTTTTCTAATTTTTTTTTTTGAGCCAATAAATATGACTTTTTAATACATTAGTTTTTTTGTTACAAATTGGCACTCACTTATATTAAATAATTATAAGACAAATATACATTATATTAAAGATAAGATTAAATAACAATATTTAATTTAATAGTAAGGGCACCATATTGGCCCCTACCATGTGCATGATAAACAATAGAAAACATAGAAGAATATGTCCATATGTGATGGCTTAATTTACATGCTAAATTGTAGGCACTTGTAAGTAAGGAGATAGCTTAGGGAAGTGCTACATATATAACTCTGAAACCATTTATATACAAAAATATTCATCTACCTTTTCTTTTGGGTCCCCATGTGAATCAGAATTATGGCTGGCTTTTTAGCCAACACTAGTTTGTTGATGGTTAGTTGATTCTAGTAGAATCTATTGTACATTTTGTACAGTGTGAGAGTATAGATTTCAGGAATCAAAATTGAGTTTTTTTTGAAGTGTGAATTTAGAATTTTAGATAGAATCAATCAAACTAGAAAGCAACTTAATAAGTACGAAATTCTAGGTAGAAAAACATTGTTCTGTATTGGAGTAGTTGATGTGGATATTAAATAGTAAATTCTGAGATAATACTTAAAATTTGAAATTATTAAATACGAAATACGTATATAATTTTTATCCTTAGGACTTCTTATACAAACTTAAAAAAGAAAAATTTTAACTCACTCTATTAGAATATATTAATATACTATCATCAATATATCCTCATACAAGACAAATGTATACACGCACAGTCGTATAAGAAAGTTTAACTTTGAGTTAATTAGTTTATTACATAATTAATCTATTTTATCGATTCGGTTGTTATTCGGCTCAATCATATGGGACTAATTGAATTTACTAAGTTTTATTAATTGCTTTGTTAAGATATGACCCGCATGTAATTGATCTGATTGATTGTTCCAACTGAAGGAGAGGAGTTTGAGTTTATAATGGACCCTTACGTGAGGCAAATTATCCTGAATGAATAATGATGTATGAAATCTAATGATAGTTTGTTCTTACAATTGAAGCAAAATTTATGGAAGTTCAATTATGTATTTATGCGCCTCAATTTTAATTTTTAACCAAAGACATTAAATGCACACTATCCAAATCCAATATCATCATCTCAATCATAACTATAGTACTCTAGCATGTGAGAAACTTTTAGCAAGTATCTTTCACTGGTAAAATTGTCTACTAGTAATAGACAAGTGGAGATTGGACAATTATACCTTATTAGCAAATGGGATATCATCTTTTACAAAGCCTTTTCTTTGTCTAGCTAGGGCCTCACTCAATTCACTTGGATGAACTTGATTATTAAGGAAAAAGGAGTATTGTATTCTTGTGCACTAAATTTTAGAAGTAGAGTAGCTTTCGTTTAATGAGTTAGCAAAATCAGTGTCCATTATTATGGGACCCTTTTTAAAGACACCTAATATTTAGTGCCATGTTTAGTTTTTTTTTTTTTTTATTTATATTTTTTTTCATAAGATTTATTTATGCCATCTTTAGCTTCAATTACAGAGCATTCAACTTTCTAAGAATTTAATTAAGTTCAAACAAAAAAGTTCATTATATTTAAATTATAAATCTAGACATATTAAAATGTGTTGAATCAAATAGAGCATTTTTCTTTCCTTTTATTCTCTCATACTCCCAGTCACCTAGCTTTATTTTTATTACAACATATTGACTTCAATTTTAATTTGCAATATTCACATATTTTACTTTGATTATGTTTTCTACTAACATATCAAAAACAAATGTAATTACATAATATAGGTGTATTATTCGATTTGTGTCAATGTATATTTTCAAGATATCATATTTTCTACTAATATATCAAAAACAAATGCGCATTGCTATATGAGGACTTGAGTCACTTGACTTGATATAATATTATGAACAGATGACTAATTGAGCATTGACCCTTTAAGCCTTTCTAATTAACTTAATTAACATAGTTAAATGATGTCAACTAGGATATTAAGTACTTAATTAAAGAGGAGCAATGCAATATCTGCCACTCAACTATAAATGGTTTAGCTCCTCAGTCCTCACGTGCCTGCACATGCAAGTGACCCCAAGGCCCAAACTACACTCTAGGACCCACATGAGAAATCTTTAGATCTATAGATAATCATAATTAAACGACTAAAATCCCTAATTATAGTAATTAATCCATTTTTATTAAGAGATTTAAGTATTTAACAAAATAGATTCCAAATTTAAATCACAAGGTCAGGGACTTACAAGTTTACAAGTGATATCACATGCATGGTAGTCAAGTCACGTGATTAGGAATAAATTAAAAAGTTAATTATATGAAGTGTTTTGCCGTGTCTTGGCATTCCTCATTAACAAGTATATATACAAGAGAGTTTAGGGTTTAACCTAAGGCTATGAAAGTAATTACAAAGATAATTACAATATCAACAATACATATTAACATAGTCTATCATTAATGTCTTTTAGTAAAATTGATAAGATTTTAAAAAGATAGAATGATTATGAGAGTTTTTTTTTTTTTTTTTTTTTTTTTTTGTAAAAAATTTTTATGAGGTTTATACAAGCTTTACAAACTAGAAATTTTAATTTGGATGCTTTTTAACTTGCCTTTTGTTAAATTTGACAGCTAGCATTGGAACTTTTAATTAAATGCTGTTGCCATGCAAATTCATACATGACCAAAAGAAATAAAAAAGAAAAAGTTGACCTTGAAGTTCCAAGATTATTTCATGCAAGTTCACATGCATGAAATTAATAATGCTGAAATTTCCATACAAATAACATTAGTAGTAAAAAAGGGCTGAGAAATTTGATCTCTTTTGAGTTTTTTTATAGCCTAGTGTCCAAATATTGTTTAACCTAATGAAGTAATGAGCATTATTTTGAATTTGAGTGATGGACACAAGTGTTGGGTATTTATTCGGTTTTTTGATTCATAGTTACTCCATATAACTTATAAGTATCATTTTATAAACAATAACATGTAGATGAATTAAGTTGCATGCTTAAGAAATAGAAATTCAAATATACGCAATTATTAAAGTAGTACCAATTACGAATTGAATTACTATACAATAATTCTTGCTTGTTATCATTCGTTTAAACTCTTAATTAAAAAGGGATAACACCACATTTTGCTAACTATTCTATTCATAAATAAGTAATGGGACAAACCAATTGTATATATTCTTTACAATATCACCACTTGGATTATTGCATGTATGTCTATATGGGTGCCATCATCTAAAGCAAAAACATATAAAGTGATATAAAAATATAAATCATAAAAATAAAAAAAAAAAAAGGCCCATAGTTTTGCTACCATACATGCATGTTTGCCATTTTCTATCTTATTTTTTTTTTATTATTATTTTTTGTTAATCCAAAAAAAGAAAGAGGATTATATAAAGGGAAAAAAAGCTCCAAAAATCAATTTATTTAAATTTTCAGAACATCCACATGCAAATTAAATTGTCTCTTTTCTCTTGTAACATTACGAGCAGTAATGTGCATTTGTGTTAGCATTAAGGACTTTGAAGTAGCATAGATTTAGGGCTTGTTTGGTTGAATGTAGGAATTGCAAATTCCTTGGAAATTTGATTTCCCATGAAATTGAACTTTCTAGGAAATTTTAAAAAGTGTTTTGGTTAACCAAGGGAAGTGGAAATTTCCATGGGAAGTTCCACTTACCTAGGTCCCCTTAGTTGATTTACTTCTTCCATTTTGTGAAAAGTGGGAATTCATGGGAATTTCTACTTCCCAAGAATTTGTCAACCAAATAACTCAAAACAATTTCAACTCCTAGGAATTTCAACTTTCCGTATTTTTATTTGTCAACCAAACAACGCAT